ATTGAGGGATGCTTATACTTTTTAATATTGTTTACATTATGAGTGCCTTTAGGAGAGTTATCTTTTGGATCTAAGAGAACATAAGCATTGTGGGACTTGATAGAAGAAATCTTGTAGGGACCCTCATATAGGAGGAAGAATTTGGATATCTTTTTGTCTATGGTATTACTTAGTTTATGAGTTTTAACGAGAACAAGGTCATTAATTTTAAGAGGACGAGGATTTAATCGTTTATCATGTTTAATTTTACGGGATTGAGCTTTAGTTAACTGGATTTCATTAGCAAGGATTAATTTTTTAGGGTATTGAAATTTGGTATCATTGTCAGGATAGTTGATGAAGGAACGAACAGGGTTAGGAGTTTCGTTATTAAGGAAAAGTTCTGAAGGGGTGTGAAAAGTTGCNATCGTTTATCATGTTTAATTTTACGGGATTGAGCTTTAGTTAACTGGATTTCATTAGCAAGGATTAATTTTGTAGGGTATTGAAATTTGGCATCATTGTCAGGATAGTTGATGAAAGAACGAACAGGGTTAGGAGTTTCGTTATTTAGGAAAAGTTCTGAAGGGGTGTGAAAAGTAGCTTCGTGTCGAATATTGTTCAACACCCATTCAACGTAAGGAACATACTGGGGCCAGGTGTTATGACGCTCGTGGCAGTAAGTCCTAAAAAGACGCCCAAGTTCACGCATAACACGTTCAGCAGGGTTGGACTGAGGATGATAAACGCTAGTATGCCCTACTTGGATGTTATACTTTCTCAAAGTATGTTGCCAATGCTTGCTGGTAAACTGACGACCATGGTCAGAAACGATGCTTAGTGGGGCACCATATTGAGAAAAATAATATTGGGTCAACTTGTAGATGCATGCTTTTGCAGTGGCTTTTCGAAGGGGGAACAATTTTACAAAACGGGAGAAGTTATCAAGGACAACAAAAATGTACTGTACACCGTAAATACCTACAGGGAGGGGACCATAAAAATCTACTAAAAGTTTATCAAGAGGTTTTTGGGAGATTACATGCTGCATAGAACCGGCCATTAAAGCAGTAGTGACTTTGCATTTTTGGCAGATATCACAAGATTGTACGATGGAGCGAATAGTTTTATGGAAAGAAGGGAAATAACAAATTTGTCTTAAGGAATGGGAAGTTTTTAAGGGACCAACATGACCAAAATAATCATGAAAAGCAATTACAACTTCCTTAATTAATTGTTGAGGAAGGAACAGGGACCAAGTAGTAACGAATTTAGATTTACGGACAAACAGAATATTATGATGCACCTTATAAAAAGTATGCCAAGACTGAACAGGATTATTGGAAGAAAGAAGATTTATAATTTTACTGATATTAGGGTCTACCGATTGTTCGTACGACATATTTTGGAAGAGAGATTGTATCTTAAGAGGAAGAGCTGGAGGAATTTCAAATTTAGAAATATTTTCAGGGGGTGGTAGAGGGTCAGGGGGAATAGGTTCTTCACATTCAACGTGCATGATCGCAGGGTAATCTATAGATGCTTGGTCATCACGATCTATAGGATGACGGGAAAGGGTATCAAGGGGGTTCTCTTTACCGGGACAATAGAAGATTCTTAGATCAAACTCCTGTAGAACAAGAGTCCAACGGGTAAGACGGGCATTCTTTAGTTTACAGGAAAACAAAAAGGTAAGGGCTTTGTGGTCAGTGTATAAATCTATGGGATAACCCAAAATATAAACTCTGAATTTCTGACAGGCAAATAAAATAGCTAAGAGTTCAAGCTCGGTGACAGAATAGTTTTGCTCAGAACCACAGAGAGAACGACTAGCAAAAGCAATAGTGTTCCGTTGTTGGTCGTCACCTATCTGAAACAGCTCTGCACCGAGACCAATAAGGGACGCATCAGTTTGCAAACAAAAGGGGAGGTTAAAATTAGGGTGTGTCAGTGCGATTTCATTACAAAAAACATTTTTAATTTTGTTAAAGCAGGATTTTTCATTATCTTTAAAAGACCAGGGAACATTTTTCTTAAGGAGATGAGAAAGAGGGTTTAAGAGTTGAGAATGATTTTTGGAGAATTTACGGTAGAAATTACAGAAACCAAAGAAAGATTGAAGATCTTTTCTGTTGCGGGGTTCAGGAAAATTTTTAAGAGCTATTATTTTGTCAGGGTCCATTATGGTACCACTGGAAGAAACGAAGTGACCAAGAAATTTTATTTGAGCTTTAAGAAAATGACATTTTTTAAATTTAAGAGTAAGATTCGAGAGAGAAATTTTTTGAAAAATCCATTCAAGACTAATTAATTGATTTTGAAAAGATTGAGAAGAAATAAGTATATCATCAACATACGTGTGGATATCATTAGGGAANAACTGGTAAGACCTGCCATCATATAAAAAACTAGTATATTGGCGAACAGAAGGGTCAAGGAGAATTTGCCAATAACCAGACGTAAAATCAAGCTGCTGGTATCGATCCCACTCAATTGGGGTTTCTTCTTCGACTGGTTCGACTTCTTCGATTTCTAAAAGACAAAAGTAATACATAATTACAAATCATAGAAACATATAAATAAAATAAACAACTTATTTATACCGTTTGTAAAGCCAGCTTTGTAGAAACAATTTACAATTGTGGACTGTGTGACTGCTCCCCAGGATTGATGCAGTAATTCAATTGATTCTAAAAGATTTATGGCATCTATCTCAAGTCCGGAATCCATTTTTCGCAAATTTCTTTGCATTATACTTCTTCGATAATGATGCTTTATGTTTTTTATGATTCCTTGATCCATTGGCTGTAACTTAGATGTCATGTTTGGTGGCAGAAATACTACCCGTATTGCTTTTAGTTCATGCAAAAGTGTTTTTGGATGTGCAGGGCAATTATCGACAAAGAGAAGCACTTTTCTTTTATCGTTGAAAAATCTTTTATCTAAGTCGAATATCCAAGATTCATAAATGGTGGATAACATCCAAGCTTTTTTGTTATACGCGTATGTGACCGGTAACGATTGCACGTTCTTTTTCTTGAAGCACCTTGGTTGTTTTGACTTTCCAATCACGAGTAGTTTTAATTTTTCTGTTCCAGTCATATTAGCACCTACCATGACTGTTACACGTTCTTTACTCCTTTTTCCTCCGTGACAAGTATCTCCTTTGAATATCAAAGTTCTGTCAGGTGTATACTTGAAAAAGAGACTGAATTCATCTGCGTTGAAAATGTCTTTAGAGTCGTATTCTTTTAACAAACTTAGTATGTTTGTTCGGTAATGTTCACAGTCAACTTCAGACACCGCAGCACTCTCACCTGATATGATTTTTTCTACTATTCTGTTCCTCAATTTAAATTTTTCCAGCCAACCCGAACTAGCTTGAAATGTGAGGCCTACATTTTTTGCGAACTCTGCTGCTTTTTCTTGAATTAACGGTCCTGAAATGGGTAAATTATAATCTCTTACTCGCTTTATCCATTCCGTCATAGCATGCTCAATTTCTGGGAAACTTGATGCTTTAAATCTTTTCCGGCGTGGTAAGCAGGGGGCTCTTCAACTGCTTTGAGAATTTTATCTTTATCCTTCAATATAGTCGATAAGGTACTAGCAGGAATACCGAATTCACTCGCGATATCTTTTTTGCGTTTCACTCATTTTTTTACTTCTTCAATAATTTTTATTTTATCACCGACCGTTAGAGACTTTAAACTACGTTTTTCCATCTTGACTTGACAAAATCACAAAATAAACTGAACATTTGCTGTGTCAGCATTATATAAAATATCGACGTATACATTTCGTATTTCAATCGACGTATAATTTTACCAGTAATAAATATTAATAAAGTAGATAAACGTAACTTATCGGAGATATAGATTAGGTATAGACATACATATTACATAATACAATATCGTTGAATTTATAACTGTTCCTTTTAAGTAGTATAGGTAATGATAAGATTGATAATAGTAATCGGTTTTCGATTACGATTTTCGTTATTTATAATAATATACATATGTACTTGGTTATTTGACCTTCGAGTTATCGAGATAGGTAATTGTACGAATTATATTTTATTATATAAATTCGAGTTATAAGCTAAAATTCAACTAAAATTACTTCGACTTATCGAGAAATTCGAGTTAGCGAAATTCGAATTATCGAGAAAATTTATCACACATATCATATATTGGAAGCCAGGGGCCAAGGTATTCCTTCGAGTTATCGAAAATTCGACTTATAGAGGTTCGAGTTATCGAGGTTCCACTGTATATATATATATATATATATATATATATTGTTAACAATATGTAATCGTTGCTTACAGATATACATTAAATTACCTATTACAGTGGCTGTATCCGTTCCTATTATCTTAGGACGTCTTAATTAAGTCCTTTTAATTATTACATGCACCTAAGATTTTTTTCTATTGGTTCATCAAGTTTATTCACGTAGTTATGAACAATTTAAAAACACGGCTATATTGACAACAAATATACGCCGTATAAATATAATTATTCACTTGAATAAAAATATGTGACATCAATGGGTGAACCTGAACTTAATGTCTAGCTAAAATTTCATTATACGGTAACCAAGGGTACTTGAAACCAACAAAAAATTAAATTGTTTCAAATTCAAGTGTAAACAGTGACAATGAACTGACAGTCATATAATTTAGAAATTGATTTAAAAATCTAATTCCGTCAGTCTTACGTTTTAATCGATTTCATATATTCCAAGGCTTAATACATTTGTTTTTCAGTACAGTCGTTGCTAAAATCTTTTGGATACAACGGATAAAATAGCGTAAATTTATTTTATAGGTCTGTCACTTTTGTCAAACAATATCGTTGCTTATCCACATTTTTATTTGAAACGGTTCGCGTTGGATTAACAATAATTATATCAATAATATTACTATGATGAGATAATAATGATAACATCATCATATAAACACAAGGGTGACATTTCTTTTTCATCACGTCATTGATCAACGATTTTATGTCAATACGATGATTAGCATTGATGAAAATCAAGGACCCGAATCGTATTTCGATCAAATGAGTTCATCACGTAGCGCCAGTTTTTCGTACAGCGAGGACGATATCCTGACGTTTAAACTCTATGAAAATGTAAATTCACGACCGGTACGTTTATATTCCATTAATGTTTATCAAATATAGTGTTATACTTAGTAGTGGTCAAATGACTTTGACATAGGGAGGAGGAGAGGGAATTAGACTGATTTGTTTAACAATTATTATAATTAAATTTATTATATTTTTATAAATTTGTAATTGAATATAATATATTCAACTATTCAATATATTATAAATATTAAAGAAAAAAATGACATGGGGGGTGTCCTCCTTATCTCCCATTTAAACGTCTTTGTAACTTAGTAGTACTTGTCTTTAGGGTAAGGTGAATCACCAGAATATAAACTACAAAATTCTATTCTATTTTATGACGTTTCATCATTGACATAAATAGGGTCCTCAAATACGTGGGGCTTGAGCCCAAAAGAACCACTGGCACCCACATGGTTGCATTACGACACGTTTGGTTGGCAGGCCATTAGAAAAGGCTATCAATTAATGGTTTATGAATCATTAGAACTGGTGATGGGCTTTACCGAGTGAAAATTATCGACCAATTCATTCGGTCGACGAAATATCCAAAAATGATCAATTCAATCGATAAATCGTTCCATTATTTTTAAAATATCGATTGACAATCAAAGTTAAAACTAGTTGGTTCCACGGTTCCGCCCATCACTAATTACAATGTTAAAATTCAATGAAAACCTACCTACTTATTATTACTATTATTATATTTATAACTAGAAACCGGATTTATATTCTCTTATAGTCCACAAAAAGGCACTTTAAAACATCAAAAAATCTCTGAAAAAAGCATTTGCAAAAATTAAAAAAAAAAAAAAGTGATAGAAGAGTTTAAATTCCTCCCACTAATGGCTCTAACTTATTAAATTAAATTTCCTAAAACAAAATAATTTATTTTAAAAAAAATCGTACATATAACAAAAAAAATAAAATACTTTTTATTAATCATTTTACGGCGTAAGAAAATATTATTTGAAAATTAAATCCGTTAGTGGAGGAAGGGTTATTAAACCCCTTTATTATTTTTGGGATTTTAAAAAGTTTTTAAATAATTTTTTTCAAGTATTTTTGAAGTTTTCAAATGTTTTTTTGTGGATTTTAAGAACATATAAATCCGAATCTGGGAAGACTAAGTCCTCTCAAACCTCCCCCTCTATTCACATTCATGTGTTTCATCAAACGTTTTAACATTGAAGTTTAAATGAAGATATTATTATGCTTTTAGTTACCGGAAGAAGAACTGCGTAGCAAGTTTAGCGGGTATGTGGACTATCTACTGTACTGTTTTAGTCTGACTGGAAGTCTTGCCAACTTGACCAGATTCCCGTATTTAGCGTACATGTACAACGGATGTAATTAATTAGTTTTATCTCCGTATACCAAACTATAAGTATAATTTGTATGTTTTAAACAAACTTAAGCAAATGTCTGCATAAAGTCACTATTCTAATATTATATTTTTCATTAACCTTTTCCTTTAGTACGATCTGAGATTTAAAACAATACCTCCACTCCACTCCAAATAATTATATTTCCCTTTATAATCTATTGTCGAATTTCCTTAGGCCTATTTATTTCTTGTTGCTTTTATCTTCGCACTTATCTTACATTAAATATCTTTACAGACTATACTATCGCTTCTGGCTTCTCTTTTTCCCAACGTATCTCTCATTATGTACCATCGTAATCTAGCCTAGATGCGGATGTAAGTATAATCTCAGAAATTACCTAATCTCACGGACCGTAAAATTCCGGAATTTTATATAAGTTGACTTTATTGTCACGGACTGTAGAAATTCGGAAAACATAAACACACAAACCGTATTGTTGCGAACCGTATAATTTTTTAAATTATTGTTATTATATCAGTGATTATTTTAACGTGCTTTTGAACACATTTTGCGCTTTAATTTAAGAAATGCGTAGTTGTAAATACTGTATATAAATTAAATAATAATAACTTGTAGTCATCGGCTTTATAACCGAGAGCAAGGAAAGAGTCCGTCAGTCGTCGGTTTAGGTTTATTACGACTTCGCCGGACGAATAGTTTGTTGGCCGTCTTGGGTTAGACCATTCAATACTTAAATTTTCTATGTCACCAGATGCTAATTAGTCACGGGGCTCGTGGGTCATCCGGTACATCCTGACGGTAATCGGCACGGCCCTCAGTTTGCTCCAGTTGATGCTCATCGCGAATGTGAACATTTTACTTCGGTGTACGGTCATTGAGTCTGACTCCCCATTCCACAACTCACGTATGCTTAGATCTAATTCGCACATCTATTGCTCAGGATAACTATAAAAGGTAATGTTTAGGTCAACCCTTTCATTCTTTGATAGATAAAATTGAATAATGTGCTTCACTTTAAAATGTAAACCATAGACGTATGGTGTTTGAGGGCTATGGCTCATAGTCATTTCGATGTATTAATAAAGCAAAGGTTAGACACTTATACTTAATAATAAATTAACCAGTAAATCAACAGCACCAACAGTTTCTTTTAAATATACTATAATAAATGTTATATATATTATAATGTTATTATTATTTTATTATGACAATATTATTGTACGACCTTAGTGCGGTGTATGTAGGTATACACTATAATAAAAAAAACTACGATTTTCATCGTCATAATAAAACACATCCATCAAAGACTGTGGCGAGACACTTTCGATGATATAAAATCTGTTGCTCTTATTATGGTGTACTGCGCATCGTTCGAATTTAGCATGGAAGGATGCAAGCGCAATAGTACCAGAAGTTCAACGTTTATGCGGCCCTCACACGATCAATATTACTGACACTATAAATATTGACAGTATTTACATAACTGACAGTATAGTCCTCAAACGGTCATTACAAATTCCATTCAATACTTAGTATTTATTACTTTCACGGTAGTTCAGATCGATTGTTGTCTATTGATACTGTAAATTATTTAATTAGTTTAAAATAGTATAAATATTTTTAAATTTTACAAAAATGGATAAGAAAAAGGCGTGCATTGCAATATTATGATTGCCCTTTCTGTAACAAAATAAAAGCAGACAAAACGTAAACGATGGATGAAAGAATGGATTACTAAACGAAAAGAGCACACTCACTTAAATATTTTAAATGAAATAAAATTATCTGATCCAAAAGATTATCAAAACTATTTTCGTATGAGCGATGTTATTTATAATCAACTTTTAAACATGCTAAGACCATTTATAACCAAAATGGATACGAATATGAGAGACAGTATTTCTGCAAACGAAAGGCTTGCAATTACTTTGAGATACTTGGCGAATGGACGTTCATTTGAAGATTTAAAATTTTCTTCCATTATATCACCAACAACAATAAGCATGATTGTAATTGAGACATGTGAAGCAATAGTTGCTGTACTCAAGGATCTTATTCAGGTATATAAAACATTATTTTACTTTTAAATTTAAAGTAGTTTTATATTTTTATGTGAGATAAACAATATATTTTTTTTCAAATTTCTAGACAAAATTAACAGTATTATTTTAAATTATTAAACAACAAAACTTAAACAATATATTTTTTTTAATTTTACAACTATGCTAAAGCATAGTCTTTAACAATATTACAGTCTTTATAATTTATTTGAGCAATCAGTGTTATTAAATTAAGTCACAATTTAGTATTAATATTAAACATCACTTCCATTCCAGTTGCCATAGAAATTTTATAAATTTGTTTGTGTCAAAACATAGTCCTGTGATTGCGTTGTATCAATTGAAGATTCGTTTCAACTATTTATTGTCATTGGAGTAGATGAATGAGTGCAGCTTCTTCGTTTATTTTAACTGAGTTTCTGTGTAAAGTTCCAAGCGGTGCCTCAAACAAGATATCATTAATCGCTTTCTGAGTAAATACTTTTTGGTTAGGAGTCAGGGTTTTTAAAGTATTTGCGCCAACTTTAACCTGGTCTAAGTCTGAATCTTGTCTATTTTCTTCATTTGATAAATAATTACAAGCAAGTGAAAGTAATTCATTTTATTGACTGATAGTAGATTTGGATTTTTTTGGTGACGGCCGAATAAAAGTAGGAACTGCATTTTCTGTATGTTGAATTGCTTCACCAGATTCATTGTTTGGTACCTTAAATATAAATCGAAGAATTACATAAAAAATATTTTTTTAATGTTTTACTAATACATTTAATTATTTGATAATTTTAAAAGTTTTAGTTTTAAGAAATGTAAATAACTTTATCGTAATAAGAAAAATAAAACCATTTTATTAGGTTGTTATATTTTTATTTATCATGAAACTGTATAAACGATTAGTCAATTTGTATTAATTAGTAATTTTTATAACTTCCGCAGACTCCTGAAGCATGGAAAATCGTTGCAAGTGATTTTAATGACAAATGGAATTTCGGTAATTGTTTGGGAGCCAAAGATGGCAAACACTTGAACATAAAAAAACCACCCAACTCGGGCTCCATGAACTACAATTATAAAGGTATACATTTTAATAAAGGTAATTAATTATAATAATTATTAATTATTTTTTTAATATTATTAAGGTACATTTAGTATTGTCCTGATGGCGATAGTTAATGCGAATTATCAATTCACTATGGTTGATGTATAAGCAAATGGTAGAATATTAGATCGAAGCGTATTTTACTATACAAAATTTTGGGAAAAGTTTAAAAACAATGCGCTTAATATTCCACTACCGTCGTGTTTACCAAACACTAGTGAAACATATCCATATGTATTTGTTAGTGACGAGGCATTTACACTAAAATCTAATTTAATGAAGCCATTTAGCCAACATGAATTGACAAACCATCGACGCATTTTTAACTATCGATTATCCAGGGTTCGGCGTGTTGTCGAAAAATTTTTTGGAATCCTAGCATCTAAATTTGGAGTGTTTCAAAGACCATTAAATCTTTGCCCTGAAAAAGCAGTAAAAGTTACATTGGCTTGTTGCTACTTACACAATTTTTTAATTGAAACAAATCAGCAGCTATATTGTTCAAGAAGTATTCTTGTCAAAGAAAATTTAGAAACTGGAGAAATAATTAATGGTTATGAAAGAACAGAAAACGTATTAGGTTCTTTAAAGAAAACTCCTACTCGTAACGCAAACGAAGATGCAAAATTGGTGAGAGAAAAATACTGCAATTATTTTAATAAGGAAGGTCAAGTTCCATGGCAAACAAATATAATTTAAAATTACATAATATATTACAATTATAACTATTATTATTATTTATTTATTTATATTATAAATTAAAAAGTGCCTACATAATTACTTTACTTTTAAGTGTATTGCATCTTACATTTAAAATGTATGTTAGTTTTTACTTTTTTTTGTGTGTAATAATAGAAAGTAAAAGAAATGTACTTATATTTATTTTATTACTTTATTTTTATTTTAGTTTATTTTATAAATTTCATTTTTCGATTTTAAACGTAAAATAACGAATAAGGTATAAAATAAATAAGTATAACATATGAGAAAATATTTAATGATAAATTATCTTACCGTTCGTCTCTATTTTCAACTTTATCATCAATGGAATATACGCTTTTAGTTGGTTTTTCCAAATTCGTTAAGAATGATAACTTTTCAAATAACCAAGATGATGGTTGATAAACGCCGTCTGTCCCAGAACCACTTCTTTTTGAATCGTTAATTTTTTTAAATTCTTTCCGAAAGTTGCTTCTTAATGTATTCATTTTTTTTTTACATCTTCAATTGTAGAGTTATTTTTTAAATGTTTATAATAAACTAAGAGTTTTTTATAGGCAGAATTTGTTTTATCTCTATTGGAGTACTCTTTACAACGAACATCCCACAATTCGGGTAATTGTTTGTACTCTGAAATAAAATCACGCAAATAGGATCGATCGCGGCATTCGCGGCTTGTGATTTCACTTCCGTCATCCATTGCTGCGTTGTCAATACTGACGAAGTGTCAATATCGACCTCACACTATCAATATAATAATCAGTAAACAAATACTGACGACTCGATATCCGAATTTTTCATCAGTCATCAGTATCGTTTTTCCATACTGACAGTACATCAGTACTCACATTACATGAACAATTACCGAGTCTTTCATCGGTTTTCCATGCTTCAGTTCAAAGTATTAGGGAGTTAGAAATAATATCAATAATTCTAAAAGTGTTCAAAATAAGATTGACTGAATTTTCAAGTTCATTACTAAACTCAGTTTTGACTTCGTGGAACACACTTGTTTTATATATAGATAAAACAGATTTCTGTTGAGCACAAAGAAAAAAAGGGTATGGCCAATTTTTAAAGGACAAATATGAGCTTAATTTCAAGACGTCATAAAAAACATTATATGTCTGTCTTAGATCGAAGAGAATTGAAAGCAGTATGTGACGAGATAATAGATGCTATTATTGTTTTTCTGAGTTCTAGATTTGACACGGATACAAATTATGTTAATATAATGTAACCATTTATTGAAATGGATTCCAGAGTAAACATAGAAGTTTACAAATTAGTTGCCCATGATATTTCACTTCAAGATCTTTCTTGTTGAATATGAGGAATTACTTGAAGATAATAATATATAAGTTTTGAAAAAAACTATAAAAAATCTATCAAACCTTTGATTTGTCAAATCGCTTTCTGGTTCAAAATACTATCAAAATGTACTGAAAATACTTACAAGAATATTGGTTGCAAAACTACACAGTGAAGATGTTAAAATACTGATTATTACTAGTAACATATTAAAATCCATTGATCGTCAGAATCTCAGTATTCAAAACGAGAGGTATTATCTACATATACATTTAAATATGCCAACATTAATGTCATGGGATCCAAGGCCATCTATAGTTAGTTGGGTTAATACATTAGACCGTCGAGTACGATATACACCAAAAGCTAAGCAACAGGAGTGTTTCAAGGGCATAAGTGAGAAGAAACCTCAAATTCAAATTTAAAATAATATTCTACTGGAGACGAAGAGGTTTGTCCAAAAAAAAAAATCAAAATATAAAGTTGTAATATTTATATTTTTTAAATTTTTTGTATTCAATATTTTTTTTTTTTATAAATATAAACTGGGTTATTAAAAATTAAAAGTCACAATAATAAGTTTTGTAGTAAGTTTTTTATAAATTAGCAAACTACACACACATATTACACAATACACAGTGAGTAATATTTGCGATTATGGGAAGGGGTTGAACTTTAAGTTTTACGAACTTCTAAAAACCCTTAAAGTAAGCCCTAGAAAATATTGTGTATATTTATTAAAAAAAAATGTAATAATGATTATTTTGGTTTTAACTTTTAACAGATAATAATCTGATTATAATATATATAAATTGATAAAGGTAAAAATTGTTTTATTTAAATCAATAAATTATTTTATTGTATAGAATAAAATAAATATTTTTAAAATACTATTTGATATTTTGACAAGTATCATTAACCAATATAATAATTTTATTTTTTAGGTAATAAATCGCTCTTATTAATCAATTGCTGGTATGTTAAGGAATAATAAAATAAAACTTGATTGAATAAATTATTTATTATTTTATAAAATATTTTTTGCTTTTACAATAAAAATATTTATTAAAACATTTAAATAAAAAAATTATAATTTCCGTAACTATAAATATTATTTTATAAATTCGATAAATATTTTAAGAAGATATTATTTGATACGGTCCGTGAAGTTACTTTCTAGGATTATACGACCTCCCATCCTAACTCTTTTTTGGTACTTACATATACTTAATCCTATCAAACTTTGTATTTTATTAATTTTTTACGGTATTCTTTCACAGGTTCGTTTTTAGTACAGTTTTTAATTCTAGTCGTGCTGATCGGTATTCCGTGGTGTTTTATGGAAACGGCTCTGGGACAGTACTCGGGCAGAGGACCTACTGCACTCGGTGATATGGTACCCATCGGCAAAGGTGATAATATTAATGATAAAAACAGTTTCGATTTCCGAACAGAACCATAGAAATCAAAACTCATAACGATATTTATCGAAGAGTTTGTAAGAAAATTTATTTTACATTTATTTTTATATGGTGTATTATGTACCTACTGCGTAAAATGTATACGTACATTATAATGAACTCGTATTGACTAGTATGGCTTGAAGTATTACAGAGTTAACTAGGTTTCCTGCAACGTTGTATATTTGTTGTAAAGTTCTGTTCGCTCTTGAAATCATGGATCGTAATATCACTGAATAGTAAATATTGTTGTATCGGTCTACTTTTCCTTGTCAGAGGGGAAACCGTTATTTTTGTGTAATAAAAATTCCGATTACATAATACCTTTTTTATTTTTAATACATGGTAATAATATTGAAAATGTAATACACAATTTTAGATTCTGAGTGGATTGAAGAAGCGTATGCTTATACAAAGATGTTTATTTATTAATTTTTTATTTTTGCATAACTTTTCTACCAGAAATCTTGCTGTGATTTTAGGTGTAGCAACTTTTCTAAAAGAAAATTTCACTGGGATGGTACTTTAGAGAGGTGGTTTTTTAATTTTCCCAGGATTCTTCTCAACAAATATGAAAAACCGAAAAAACTGAGGAAAATCTGAAAAATGTGCGAAATGTAAGTATTAGTTGAAAAATATTACGGCTTTTTTTCTTACAACTTTTCTAGCAGCAATTTTGTTCTGCTTTACAAAGATAATGCTTTTTCTGAAATGAAATCTCACTGGGAAAGTACTTAAGGGAAGCCATTTTTTTTCTCAACAAGTGTGAAAAACCATGAAAAACATAGGGAAATTGGTCCATTAAACATCATATACAGGATAAATCACTAATCGTGCTTCATTGTTTTGGTTAAATTTTGCATATATGTATTCAAATTGTGGTTTTTGGAATTTTTAAGTGTGGTTAAAGTCAATATTTTCAAATACTTGAAGGAGGTAGTAAAACACTAATAAAACGCTGCGCTATGCCGTGCCGCTACATAAATGGTACTCCATTGCTCTCCCTCTATCTTTTTTTTTTTTTTTATTTCCACAATTAATAAAAAATCTGTATCATTTACTTGACACAATAAAAATATATGATAAAAATTAACAGGTCATGAGGTTTTGATGAAAGAAGCTACCCATTGATAACATTTTCCATTAGCTTAAAAATAATTTAATTTAATTAAGGAGATCATGACGCCACTTATGCTTCAAACGTCTTGGAGGATTTCCAGGTATTGTGGGAGTGGCCAAATTTTTTATAAGTTGATTTGAATGATAATTTAAACGGTAATGAAATCTTTTATAAAATATTTTTGCTTCGTCATTTATTGTTTAAAGTTTTAAATCAGTGAAGTGTATGATTTGACACGTAGGGTAGAGCATTTATCAGTTTTCTACACGCTATGTTTTGAAATATTTGGATTTTTAAGATGTTTGATGTTTAAGTGCTTTGTATATAAGCAGTTTAGTTCTAATAGAGGTGTATTTGTTATTGAATAGTAAAGGTTTGAGCAAGCGGAGATGATGATTCAGAGTTAATCTTTTAGTTTTGATGTGATGAGCCCACGTTAACCTTTGATCTAGAGTAAGGCCGAGGTATTTGATTTTTGGAGAATAGGGAATTGGAATGCCGCAAAGAACACCACCAGGACAAGGAGTATGTCTGAGGGTAAAGGTTGTGTGAACGGATTGATTCTGGTTAACTTTAAATCGCCATTTTGTAAACCATTTTCCCATAGCGTTAAGTTGAGTTTTAACAAACAAATTTAAACAAATTTATTAAAGATTATTGGAGATAAGATACCACTCTGAGGCACACCAGCATTTATAGGAAAGAGCGAATCTGTAGTGAGCTTGAAAATGTCGATCCGTTAGATAGAATTTTATGAGCAGGTAGTAAGTGGGTGGAAGGAATTGCTTAAGTTTACATAAAGGCAATCGTGCCATACTCTATCGAAGACTTGTGCATGTCTAGGAACACACAATTGCAATAAAGTTTTTTTTTTCAGGAAATGACATCTACAACCCTGTGAGCTTGGTGTATGATTGAGTTAGATGCCCGAAAGCCGAATTGGGTCTTTGGAAGAATATTCTTTTCAGTAATGATGAGCAGGATACGTTTCAGAATTAATCGTTCAAGGATTTTAGCGAAAAATGGAAGAAGGCTGATTGGTCGATGAGATAATGGAATGTCCGGCGGTTTATTAGGTTTAGAGAACAAGATTATAGTGGAAAATTTCCAAAGTAGAGAAAAATAAGAAAGTTTGAGTGAAGCATTAAATATGTGAGTGATGTGGACAATAGCTCTAGTTGGAAGGGATCTGGCTATTTCCGCAGTAATGCGATCATAGCCTGGTGATTTGTTTAGTGAATATTGTAGTATGGCATATTTTACATCATTTGATAAAAATTACTTGACAGGGAGAAATAGAGGAAGGGAAGAATTTAGGAACGATTCCACCGCATTCATATTTTCGTTCCAATTATATCAGAGTGTGGTTGAAAAGTTTGAGAAAGATACTCCTTCGAAAGTTCAGCTTTTTCAAGGTCGACGATGGCGAGGCTGATTTTTTTATAGGGAGATTTGGCGATTTATAGTGAAGTGTTTTTTTTGTTTCCCTTCAGAGATTACCATCGTTGGGAGTAAGCTTCATTAAGTGATTTTGCCAAACATTTGCCTTAAGTTTAGCATGCATTTTTTCAGGAAATTAGCCAATGTATTGTAAATTAGATTATGACAAGAGTGTCGAGTGCGCTGGAAGAAAGCTCTTACTCTCCGTTTTTCGACAATTTTGTTACGTATGTGCAGAGGTAGTAGATCTAATGAGGGAGGAGCTGGAAAAGTATTTGTAGCTAACCACGCAGCATTTTTTATAACATTTGTAAGATTGTGGATCACCAAATTTATGTCATTGGGCGTTTTTAGTTTTATGTTTAAATTTATTTTTTTATCGACTAGTTCGATAAACTTCGAATGTTCTGTGAATTTATTAAATAGTTTATTGGATTCTTTATAAGTTGGGGAAGTATTAAGAGTTAGGAGCACTGATGAGTGATCTGAATTAAAATCAAGTAAATTTTTAGTAGTGCAAAATAAGTTATTCGGTATTTTGGTCACAAAAATATCTAGAATATCCGGGTTTTTCTGTGAAGACGAAGGCCAACATGTAGGTGGGGCTAGAACTTTAAATTTTTTTAAATTTGTAAAATTATACTAGGTGACCCCACGTGGGTTATTTACTCGGCACCCCCATTACTGGTGCTTGACATTGAAATTGCCGCCTATAACAAAATAGTTATTAAATGTGCTAAAGTAGTCAAGTAGTTGTATGTCAGTAACGATATGTTTAGGGGGTGAGTGGTGTATTATTTATTTTTAATTTGATAGCACAAGATTGTAGAAAAGCCTGGGAAAAATTTGGCAAGGAATAAAATTCTATAGTGGATTTAACAAAAATAGAAGCACCACTGTGTGCTGTGTTATATGGGTGATTTGTTTTAATTAAAGTATACCCAGGAATATGGTATATACGAATATTGTGTAAAATGAGTCTCGGAAATGAGTGCAATATCAATGTGTTTGTTAATAAGTACAGATTCGAGTTTATGGACATGATTTTAAAGTCCATTAGCATTTAATTGTAATATTAAGAGCGAGTTGTCAGTAACAGAATTATTATAATTACTAGCCATTATTTGTCGAGGAGCTTGGAAATTAATATAGTCAATAGAGCTATAAGTGGATTAATTAAAGTTTTAAATTCGTCTAAAAACTGGTCATTAATTTATTTAAATCAGGATGATGAGTTTCATTGGAAGGGGGTGAAGTGTCGTTAACTGGAATGTTGGACCTAGTCTGAGCGTAAGATTTCGTTTATGGATTAGAGTGAGTGTGATTTGGTGGATGGCTACCTTGTACATTAATGGATTTAGTTTTAGGATTTATAATTGTTATTTATACAATTACTTGGTGCGCTGGGTGTTTTTCTACGTTGAAGATTCGTGAATTCGGGCATGCAGATGATTGATGATACGCTCTACAACAAACACAACAGGGATGGTAACCACAGTATGCTCTAGTGCAGCGGTTCCCAAACTTTTTTGTCTTACGGCGCCTTTTTAGAACTGAATTTTTGTCACAGCACCCCTGATAAAACCGACCACCATTTTTTAAAATAAAATAAATAATAGAACATTTTAAGGATAATAAAAGAAAATATTATTTAATTATTACATTTTTATTTTATTATAATCACAAAGAAATTATTTTAAAAATTTGATTTTATTAAGATTTTATAAATTTTTAGAAAACATTAAATTAATGGGATGAATTGTAATGATGCACTGCACAATTTTTCAAACCTTGGAATCAAAGTAGACACAGCCACTCTCATTTCTTTTTTCCACATTTATTTTTAATCGATACTTGTTTTTTATAACTGCAACCACCGAGAACCCAGCTTTGCACATGTAAGAAGTTGAAAACGGAATTAAGATTCGCTGTACTTTATCACTTAATAGAGAATATTCATCTTTCATTGAAATCCAACATTTTATTAAATCCATTCTACAAAATTTCTCTTTCAAACTATTTTCACAAGAAAACTCGATCAGACCTTCTTCTTCAATAGAATCAAAATCAGAGCCATGGAGTTGAACGGATCTTGAATCCATGACAATTTACCAATATTTTAATTTTGAAAATACTTTTCAAACCAGATTACTAGTTGTGATAAATGATCTTGAAAAATGGATTTCATATCTAGAGAGTTTTCAGCTTTATTAGAGCAAGAAAACTGTTGCATTATGGGAAAAGCATCCTTGCTGTCACCTTCATTTATTTTTATTTTCCACAATTTTGAGTTTTTTTAAAAATGCTGTAATTTTTTCAATAGACTTCAAAATGTGGATATTTTTTCTTTGCAAAGAGATATTCAATGCATTCAGTTTTCAAAAATGTCACACAAATATGCTAATTTCATTAAAAAAATCGACGTCGGAAAATTCATTGGCGTTTTTGTGTTCTTCTTCCTTAAGAAATACATATATTTCCTGCCGCAGTTCAAACGTACGTAATAAAATATTACCACGAGAAAGTCATCGTGCACTACTGTAATGCAACAAACTTGTGTGTTCAGCTCCCATTTCTTCACATAGTTTTTTGAAAAACCTCGACTTCAATGGACGAGTTTATATAAAATTGACTACATTCACTACACATTCTAAAACTTGGTTTAATGCAGGACTTAGATACTTTGAAGCAAGTACTTCTCGGTGTATTAGAAAATGGGTCCATAGCGCATCAGGGGCTTTGCTTCAAATATGTCCATAAGAGCCGGACATGGAACGAGCGCCGTTAGTACAGACACCAACACACTTAGTCCAATCCACATTATTTTCAGACATAAAATTATCTATTATTTCAAATAAGTTCTGAGACTTGGCACTTGTAATACTTTTACAAAAAAGTAGGTCTTCTACCATTTCATCACCATTCATGATCCTCACATAACATAACAAATTAGCATCCTTATTATTATCCGTAACTTCATCCAGCTGCAACCTAAATACTTTATTTTTTATTTTTTCTATCAATTAATCATTGAAGTCTTCTGACATTTGATTTATTCTGCGACTGACAGTGTTGAAGACAAAGGCACATTTGAAAGTAATTTCCTTTCAGATTCCCCTACCATAATATTCACCATATCTACTGCAGTTGGTAGGATAAGCTCTTCTGCAATTGTATGAGGTTTTTTACATTTAGAGTTTCTATAAGCCACTTTGTATGAAGCTAACAAAGCATTTTTTGGTATTTATGCATTTTTGAAAAACGTACGTTTTTCCAGTACGAGTTCTCCTAACTTTCTAGAAAAAAAAACACGAGATTTTCCTACTGCGTGCTTGTGATTTGCTTCTAAATGGCGCTTCAATGTACTAGGCAACATTCATTCTGGTCCTAAAACTTTCATACACAATACACACAATGGTTTCTATTCACCATTAATTTCTGTTGACGTAAAACCAAACTCCAAATAACTATCATCATATTTACGATATTTTCGCTTTTTAACAATCGAGCCGTGGCTGGTTGAGAGCATACTTTCTTAATTTTCTTCACCACGACGTTTATTATTATTCAATAAAAATTATTCTATTGTTAAAAATAAAAGGAACACAAAACTGAAAAACTAGTCATTTAAGAAAACTTGAATTAACAATCCAACTGCTACGAAAGCAAATTACACCAGACGGACACGTACGGTCGTGGTAATGTAGTATTTTTCATAAATGCTTCATAGCGACTGTCGCGCGTTATTCAGGAACCAAACAACAACAAGCCTTGAACATATAGATTCAATGGAAGAACGAACGGACACAGGAAACAGGATTTACTCTTTGGAACATGGAATGTACGGATAATGTTCCAACCTGGAACAGCTATAAGTGTAGTCAAGGAAATTAAGAAATATAAAGTCAAGATAGTAGCATTACAAGAAATCAGATGGAGTGACGAAGGCACCATAGACATAAATGATACCACTATTCTGTATGGCAAGTGCAATGAAAGATGACAGTTTGGGGTTGGTTTCGCAGTACACAAAAGCCTAGTGCATACGATAAAAGAGTTCAAAGTTATCAACTATAGAATTGCTATTCTTGTAGTTAAGGCCAAGTTTTTTGATATAGTATTTATAAACATAACACATAAACACATAAACACATAAACATTTTGGTACATGCACCAATGGAGGAGAAGTCACAAGAAGAAAAAGAAGAATTTTACACAGAGGTAGAAGATATCTTGACGAAAATAAACAATAGCAAAATACGAATTATACTGGGTGATATAAATGCGAAATTAGGAAAAGTTCTTTAAGAAAAACAGTTCTTTAAACCTACCATAGGGAAGTATAGCTTACACGAAACAACAAACGATAATGGTATAAAAATAGTAGACCTTGCAACTAGCAAAGGATTCAGGATAATGAGTACAATGTTTCCCCATAAAGATATATACAAAGGTACGTGGAGATCACCAAATGGACAACATATCAATCAAATTGACCATATCCTAGTGAATGAGAGATTCACAAATGCTATCAACGACGTACGAGTATATAGAGGAGCGGACTGTAACTCAGACCACTACTTGGTAGTTGGGAAGTTCAATATCAAGCTAAAGGCGAGACAACAGATTAATAACTCCAACTGTGTAAAATATGAAATAACAAAGCTCGAGAATGAAAGATGTGTAAAGCTTTTCAAACCGAAGTGAGGAGATTAACACAACTAACAGATATAAATGAGACTCGAAATATTGAATCGCTTTGGGAGATTTTAAAAAAAAATCATTACAAAGACATCAGAGGAAATCATCGGAAAACAAGGGAAATCAAAAAAGAAACCATGGTTTAATTCAGTGTGCGAAGAAGCAATAATAAGAAGAAAAGAGGTGAGATTAAAATGGTTAACGGATACAACAAACCAACTAAACGGAATAAGATACACTACAAGAAGAAAGGAAGCCCATAATATTTGCAGAGGAGAAAAAAGGAAATATATAAATAAAATTATAGAAATGGCAGAATTAGATCACAGAGCACACAGAAGTAGACAATTATACCAGAAAATGAACAGAGAAAAGGATATAAAGAATATGAAATATTTATAAGAAATAAGGATGGAGAACTGATAACAACAAAGATGGAAATAACAGAGAGATGGGCAGAATATTTTAAACAGCTGCTTAATGGAGAAGATCCTGAAGAAATTTCTGATTATATACAAGAACAACCAAATAATTGTGAATATGAAACACCTATGGTACATCTTTAATTTTGTGTTTAATTCTCTAATTTTTTGGTATTTAGTGGACTGCTTCTACCATATGTTAGCGAAATCCTAAAATATGTCGATGAAACAATGATTGAGATGATTCATAAACTAATTGAGAAAATATGGAATACTGAAGAGGTCCCTAAAGATTGGAATATGGCATTAGTTTGCCCTATACACAAAAAGGATGATAAAAAATAATGCAGCAACTATAGAGGTATTACCTTAGTGAATATGACCTATAAAATCTTATCGTATTGCATTCTAGATAGCATCAAACCTTTGGCAAAAAATATCATAAATGACTATCAAGGTGGTTTTAGAGAAAATAAATCCATAATAGATCAAATATTTATTATAAGACAACTAGCTCAAAAAACCTGGGAATTCGATCAAGAACTACATACACCTTTGTATATTTCAAAAAGGCGTATGATAGTATAAACAGAGAAAGTATATACAAAATTTTAGAACATTTCCGCATCCCACAAAAGCTTATAGGATTAATTAAAGCCACTTTAAATGGGACCATGGTAAAAGTGAAAGTTGGTAATGTACTATCAAGAGAAGTTCAGGTGAATACAGGCCTACGGCAAGGTGATGCACTATCCCCAATTATTTTTAATCTAGTTCTGGAAAAAGTAATTAGAATGATGAATATCTCACCAGATGAAGGGGTGAAACTCGATGGAACAACAATAAGTATTTTAGCATACGCAGATGATATAGTGCTTTTAGGAAATAATATAAATACAGTGAAAAGTCTGTGTGAAAGACTTATAACAGCAGCGAGAAGAGTTGGATTGCAAATTAATGAAGAGAAAACAGAATATATGAAAATAAGTAGACAACGGTATGGAAGACAAGCAGAAGAGTTTCTAAAGGTAGGTCCTTATAGTTACAATGATCACCCATTCAAACAATATGGAGTATTAAATACTTAAAAGAATCCAAATGGGTAACAAGTGTTATTACGCAATGGGGAACTCACTCAAGTCAAGAATACTCTCAAAGACACTTAATGTTCAGCTGTATGTCACACTAATAAGATCAATAGTACTTTATGAAGCGCAATGTTGGACTGCAAGGACAAATGATGAGTCTAAACTGAAGGTCTTTGAAAGGAAAATATTAAGAAGGATTTATGGACTATATCATGACCCGCAAACAGGTGAATGGCGTAAAAGACATAATGAGGAGTTATATGACTTATATAACAGACCGGATATAGTAAAGGAGATAAAAAGAAAAATATTGGAATGGGCAGGTCATGTGTGGAAGAAACCTGATGCTATGATAAAGACGGTCTTACAAGAGAATTCAAGAGGGAAAAGACCACTAGGAAGACCCAGAATGCGATGGGAGGACTGTGTCAAAAAAGATGTAAGAGTTTTCTACCCGGAGGAAGATTGGCATATACTAGCACAAAATCGTGAAGGATGGAGGCAATTATGTTTGGATGTGTGGTCTAAAAGGCCGTAAACAAAAAAAATTAGGTTTAAGGTAGTTGGGTATATTTTTAGTAGTAGAAATGGTTTCAAGTGGGTCATCTTGGGAAAATATTTTGAATCTGTTACGTGTAACAAAAATTTTTTATTTTAAGGTTTGTTTGAATAATATTCATATTTGGATTCAAAGTTGGTGGTTCGGATGCTAAGTTTGAGGAGCTGGAAAGATTACATTTATTAATTTGCGTTGGCCGACCATCATTATTAATGCTGTTTGAATCGGGCTTATTTGAAGGGCTGTTTAAGCGAGCATCCTGTATAATAGTTTTGTTTTTTTTTTGTTATTAATAGTACTATTATTTATATTATAAGTTTGTACATTTGGCGATTTAGGCATGTTTATCTCAAGGGCGAAGGTTGCCCTCCGTTGCGCGGATGTAGTTAATAAGACACTTGAAAATTATTACGAATTGAGTCGGTTCACATTATAAAGATTTTATAGACGTTTTTTGGTCAATAATAATAAATAATAAAATAACGTGTTTACGGTTTTATATGTTAACTTGGGAAAAATCGACTGATAGACAGCGGTAATTAATGGAGCGACGATAACAGACGTACGTTAGGTACGGCTGCTCGCATGGTACTGACTCCCTCTACCTAAACTGAAAAGTGAAATATCTCGTCAACGGGTTTACGGAAACCAAAATTATAACACCAAAATGTGTACTCAAATGTATACTTTGAATACTCAAAGTTATACTCTATCTATTTTTGGAATTTTCAATAGAGGATTTCATTTGAAAAACCAAAGTTGGTATCACCACAAGATACTCCTAAATATTATAATATATCCAATTCAGTAAAACCTAACCTCTCTAAAACAGAATCACTTAGGACCAACACATTTTTCCGTTATAGAGTGGTAGAAAAAATATGAAGTTCAAGAATGTGTATATGTGTTAAAACAATTATATTTTAGATAAATATTTGGTACAAACGTAAATTTATACTTCTAGATTATAATATATGAACTAATATTTAAATGTGTTATGTGATAATACATAATATGTGCTAAAAAATCAAAACTAAGAACTGAAAAAAAAACATATTAGATATTACTTTTTTATAATTAAGAAAAATAGTTTGTAATATTTGACTACTTTTTGTACATAAGAGCAGCACGTTTATTTAAAGTATTTTCGTGCATTTATTGTTAGCTTTAATAGATTTGAATTTGGAATTGTATCTGAAAACTTTTATAACTCGTCTAAATATGGGATTGCGGTTTTAAAATCTTTTATTTGGCTTATCGCTAGTCTCGATGTCAACATCCTTGTTTTCTACGATTTGAAATTCCTCTTCTTTTAAAAATGCCAAATCGTAAGTTTGGTGCGTTTCTAATTTATTACCAAATATAATAAACTCTTCTAAATCAACATTGGCTGTAAGGCACTCTTCATTCATTTATTTTAAAGAATTTTCTGGGTAATCTATATTGGTTTCTTCAATTGAAAGAAACCTTGATTTACGAAAACAATTTTACACACATTCAAATTTTACTTTGTTGCAAGCCAACGCTATCCAGTTGACTGCATCCAAGACACTTATTTATTTAGCGAACCGATTGGCTGAAAAGCAATTGTCCATCTTACATAACATTAATTGTAGCAAAAACTTACGATAATAAGACTTAAACGTGTAAATCACTCATAGATCCATTAGTTGGATGACTGATTCGAAGCAGCATGAGTATTTTCATATTAGATAATTTAATTTTAGGTGACATGCAGCATTATCTAAAATTATCAGGAAATTTCTATACTTAGATTCTAAAACCTGAGATACCCGAGTTAAAATAACGCAACCATTTGTAAAATTGGACCGGAAATTAGCAAATATTTTGACCCACTGCTAATAAACTATTCTACAATTTTCGGTCAACTATTTTACTCTTCCCCGAATTTTCGCTATTCACCAATTGATCCATTTATTTAATTTTTATCTCGTCGTAAATTTGAGTTTTTCCACATTTAAATATTGTAATAAGTTCCTTCATACTTAGTTTTTCTCTCTTCTTCACCTCGATAAATTTAACTTTAACAGACACACTCAGAGCTGTACGTAGTATATTAGCAAGTTAAAAGAATACAATAACAAACAAAACACAACAATAAAACATACGTTCGAGCACTGCACGTTTACTAAACAACACGAATGGTTAACAGATAACAGATGATTGAACAGTTCACTTTTACAAAATGTAATTACATACATTTAATCTTAGATAATCTTTTCTATACTATACGTGTGCACGATTATTACAAGGTGATAAATCAATATGACAATCGTGAAGCGATAACATTGAACGATATTTCAGATAATGATAAAATTTACATTACCCAATTACCAAATATAATATGTACCTACATAACTGTTATTTATCTTTAAATTATTTTACTCTCCATCTAACAAAGTATTTATACTTATTGAGCCACGGAAATTGTCAGTTTCAGTTTTGTAGAGGTTCCGTCTTAAAAAAGTCAATTTCATGTATTATTTAAACCGGGACTATTAACATTTTCCATTATAAGGATTCCGTCTAATAGAGGATCCGTTATTTCTCTCCAAGGTTTTACCTATCTATAACAATGTTTAAAATTTCCAAAATCAGAATTTAAATATATAAAAAAATGGGGTTAGCACGCTTAGTGAATCATCCTATATTATTAAAGAGAATATATAATGCCTATTTAATTATTTTACCATAATGCAACATTTATATTGTTGACACTATCAACTGCACTCCGCTCAGAATCTTTTTTTTGTTAGCAATGGTTTATTGTTGCTTACAGGTTATATAGGTATACATTAAATTTGCTATAACAGTGGCTGCACCCACCTCCATTACCTTAGGACAGTTTTTCTGTTTGTTTCTCACAATTTTTCTTTCTTCTATATTATAATCCATTGGTATTTTTTCACAGTGGATAAAAATTAATTTAACAATTTTGTAAAGTAAGTTTATGTAAATGTATGCACATGCCCTTACATCTAAATACCATCTCTCTTATACGCTGTCTGGTTTATCATTACTATAGATATTTGGTAACTACATCAATCCATCGGGTTTTGGTCGTCCTAAAGGCCGTTTTGTTTATTCTGTTGACTAGCACATTTTTAGTTAGTTCGAAACATTCTGGTCATTTTCTCCTAATAAAAGACAGTATGTCTGGCTTAGTATTGAGCCTTTATATATTTTCATTACTTCTTCTTTCATATATCTGTATTTCTGGGTTAATGATTGGTTCATATATGGTTCCTAACACTTCTTTCGAACGTGATAATTCTTCTGCTATCACTTTTGGTCAATGACCAGATTTCGCAGGCATATGTTATTACCGGTCGAAGGTAATTATGGTATAGTAGTTGTTTTAATTATATAAATAGTAGATTAGATCTCAGGAGTTTGATAATACTGAAAGAAAATCTATTCCCAGTAGTGATCTGTTCGTTTATTTCTATACATATCATTTTTATCATTGATGTTCACACCTAAGAACTTAAAATTATCAACTTTTTCAAATTTATAATTATTCACTTCTATAAAATCTATATTTGGAGGTCTTTTCGAATCGACCAAGTATTTAATTTTCCCCTCGTTTACATGAAATCCTATTTCTTTACTTGCATTTATGAGCTGAGATGTTGTGTTGATGACTTCCTTGAGGAACCTTGAGGCAGGAATTAACCTTTATATTATTTATTTATTTATTTATAATAACAGACTTGCACCCACACATCAACAAAGTTACAAGTTATTCAAATTACATTAAAATGCGAGAAAAATTGCAAGCTGGGCATATTTGGTTTGAAGTAGAGAAAAGTGTTGGTTTAAGATTACAAAAAAAAATTAAGAACAAAAGAAGGAGAGTTGGAATTGGCAGTAGACATAAGCGGATTATTGAGTTTGTAATTAGTAGAGCGGAAAGGAAGTAAAAATATTTTAGATGAACGGGTAACATGAGAAAGAATATTTTATATTAATTATATTAAACACGATTAAACAGTAGATAAATTTGATAAAAAAAAATAATAATAACGGATTATCCTCCTTTTAAGTTTCGTAGTTAATATAAAATAAAATCGTCTTCAAAACAATAAAAAATAATTCATTTTAGTATAAGTCGCTAGGGGAATCATAGTTATCATTCTAATCGTTTTTTCCGTGAGACGAATAGTTACTTAGAAAGAGATATCTGCTCAAACATACGTCAAATATCATATTATATAAATAACATAAACTAAATAATTGTTACGATAAACGCGGTACTTTATCGCAGTATACAACGTATTTACCAGGTATATTATATTTTCATATGTTATATTGTTTGTTTAGGCGTAGCTTTAGCCATGAGCTATATTTGTCTTTTGAACGTTATTTGCTATAGCCCCATACAGTCCAGATGCCTTTTGTACATGTACTGGTCATTGTCGGAACCACAGCTGCCATGGAAAATTTGTGGTTTTGTTAATAACACCTCCCAATGCATAGACGAGCGTAAACATTTCACCAAAAACGGCACCAAATCGGTGGGTATCGAACTCTGCGTGCCGATGGAAAATTTCTATTTGTAAGTTTCAGTTAACAATCACGTGTGACGCCTACTAAGAAAATAAAAAACTGCAATTTTATTCGTTGTGTTAAGAAAACAATTTTTTCATTTAGAAATGAAATCGTACAAATGGACAAAAGCGTTCTGTACAACGGACTCGGTAATGTTAACGTACCATTATTAGGTTGTCTCGCCGTTTCGTGGATTATCAACTTTTCCCTGCTTAACGCGACCAGCAACTTAATGAAATATGTATGTAAACAATATTATTATTCTAATACCAATTGTTTTTCTTTCGGAAAAAGCAAAATTCACGGGATTTCATTAAAATTAAAATTTTATTTTGTTTTTGTCAAAATGTTTTCAGATAATGCTTGTGTATCTGAAGGGTATATCGTGTATATCGTGCTCCCAGGGGAAGGGCATAAGTATATTTTATATAACTTTCAACACAAGTAAATTAATTTTTAACCCATTAAAGCCGACATTTTTTAAAAAAGTTTAAAATACATTTTTACTAAAAAACTACCTAGTGTGGCAATGTAAAAGATAACATTTTTTTTTTTTAATCGATTTTTGAGATGGGCTCCGTGAATATATGATAACGCTAGGAACACACTACCGATTTTGCAGATTTGTATTAATTTATATAAATTTAGTTTTAAAAATTATAAATTATGAACAAATAATATAATTCTAGAAATAATTTGTTTTTATTCTTTTAATAAACAGATTAATAATATATGTCGATGAATATAATACAATTTAATTATAATGTATACATTTATTTTTTATGTAAACCAACAAAACAGTTAATGCACAATCCGACATTACATTTGACACACATTATTCGTCCAACTGATTTACAGCCTTCTTGTACACATAATCTTTTCTTCCCTTGAGTAGACGAAACCAAGTGATCCAAGCGGTCATATTTATGATCATCCGAAATACGACTGTCTAGAGAAGACAAAGATTTGAATAGTCTTCCTGCACCCATCGAACCTGTAACCATATCTTTTTAGATCGGTCAGCACTACTATTTCACGACGGAAATCCAACTGGGAAAGTTGTTCAGAAAATGCTTTTTGTATAGCGTCCAAGTAAAAAGTAGCCACCATTCGGGTGAGTAACATTTATGTGTTTTTTTATGTTTTAGTGAATATCTTTTGACAGTAATTTGGGTTCAGTGCCAACATCAGTAGAAGCCATTGTCACAATTCCGTTGTCCGTACGACTAACAAAATACCATCATTTTAGATTCCGAGCTAGCGAGCTATTTGTTTTACTAAGATGTTTATTTCTGTTTTCCTTTTTTTTTCTTTCTTCTCGACTGTGGACACGTTTTTTTTTAGTAAATTTGCTCTTATTTTTACGTGTAGTAACTTTTCTAAAAGTTTAAGTTGTCTAGATGGTAATTTTATGAAGTCTTTTTTTGATTTTTGATGCTATTTTTAAATAAAAGCACTTCAGTGGAAAAAAACGTAGGAATACTTACAATTTCACGATTTCATTATTTTATAAAAACACGAACGACGTTTTCTACCAGGAAAAATAATTTAATCAAAAAATCACAAAATACCTTTTTTTTTGATTTATTTTATCACTTTGGTATTATTGCTAAAACTTTTGAGCCACTTTTAAGCTTCTAAAGAAATTTAAATTTTTGGGAGTTTTCTGGCTGTACTTAATTCGATTATAAATACACACAGAGACTTGAAACTTGGTAATAATACTTATATTGGACTTACCTAGATGTGGTAAAATTTCCAAAATCATTGGGCAACTCTTTTTTTTTATTAAGCGTTTTGAAATCAAATTTAAACGGAAATCGCAAAAATTATGTATATCCGAACTGCGCTTAAAATCATTTTTTGTCAAGCAATTGATTATTATTGCTTACAGATATAAATGAAATAACCTTATGCATCTTACCTTCCCACCATCTTTTTAGTAAAAGTTCAACTGAAGTACAAGTTCTAATTGGAGTATGGGGTTCTATTTTTATTATTACAGGTTTTTTGCAGATTTACTTTTCATTTCTATTAAGATTAGAAATAATCCAACATTGCTACATTTCAATTTGTATTGTTAACTGTAGCCTGATGATGGAAAAATGTGGTCAAATAGAAAATATAGCAGGCCTATTTTAAAACTTTATAGGCACCCCTAGTTTCTACTGGTTACTCATTCTGCGGAAGCATTGTTGATGTATGTTACTCGGTAGTTGAACTGAGACAGTAGATGCGGGTATAATTTCTTAAGAGAAATATAGTTTAAAAGAGGAATCATATTACCAAATTGGTGTCCACCGCGCAATCCTGTCGTGTCACAATTGTGTAGGCAGCCATGGTGTTTTGTTCTGTCGTTGTTGAGGGAAAAAGATCGTCTTCTCCAAACATCTATGCAGATATACAGTCGTGAGAAAAATGCACGATGTCCGGTTCTGTAAAATGATACGCTGTGTTCAACGGCTTTTTCTTCGGCGGCGGTTTATCGGCGGGAATGGGTCCCTCTCTTTCTAATAGCATCGGTCAGTGTTGACAACTTTAGGATAATTAAATTATATTAACGAGGGAGATTCTTATTACTATGAATTACAATATATAGTAGGTGGCGTATAATGGTGAGAGAACGCTCTCTATAGTCAGTGGGACGGTGGCTACTGGCGTTATAGGTGACTGTTCTGCATGTTAATATTAGTAATTCCATGACCACAATATGACCATACCGGAGAACCTTATTAAAAGATCTGTATGTATTGGAACGTAGTGTACCCATTTATTGTCATGGGGAATATTTTAAATTTTAAAAAAAAGGGCAAAAATTGTATAAATTTTTAAAAAAAAAACAGCATACCGTAACAAAACTTTAATATAAGCAATGTTAAATATTTTAATATAATCTTACACCAGCCCATATACTATAATAACAAATAAACAAGAGAAAAAAATTATATTTACTTTCAAACATACTAGTTAAAGTACCTACATGATATAACATATTGAATTAAAACAATGAATAAACATAATTAGGGCCAAAAAACCCTCAATACATACTATTTTTTTTTTTTTTTTTTTTTTTTTAATAAAAATATACAACTATACAATTAAGCACAAGTAATAATGATGAAGAGAATTACATAACATGAAAATCGCAAGATATAGGAGGGCTCCCAATGGAGCTACCTACTTGGGTATTTATTAATGGAGGAGGTCTCTAACCTATTTTCGTTTAAGTCTTCGTGGGGGGTTGTCCGGGATGTGCTGTGAAGCAAGATAAATAATGTTAGGGTTACTATGGTAGCTAAATTTTACGTGGAGTTTTTGGTAAGCAGTTTTAGTGACTTGGTTTACGTAATTTATTCTCAGATCAGAGTGAAGGGTTTTGTTACTTACATACCAGGGGGATTTTGTAATAGTGCGGAGGCAGATGGATTGAAATGATTGGATTTTTTGTATGTTACTTGGGGCGGCATTACCCCAAATTTGAATACCATAATACTATAGAGGAAAGATCAACATTTTGTAAATAAGGATTTTGAGTTTAAAGTTTAAATTTGATCGTAAGAGAAGACGTAGTAGATGTAATCTGGAGTTTAGTTTCTTTCTTTTGTCAAATATGTGGTCTTTCCAAGTTAATCGTTTGTCGAAAAGTATTTAATTTGGTTGGTTTGAGGTAATAATTGGTTGCAAAGTTTGACTGGAGGACAGTTGTTTGGGCGAAGGGAGAAAGTAATGTGGCTAGATTTGTTTGAGTAAGTTAAGGTGGTGTTGGAGTTTGAAGCTTGTTATTGTGGGATCAAAATCCGAGGCTAATATACAATTGTTGTCGGCAAAAGTATTGAGAATGGTGAAAGAGAATGTAGGTATATCTGCAGTGTAAATTAGATATAAGAGAGGAGAAACGTCACTGCCTTGGGGTACACCGGCGTTAATCATATATTGGTTTGACATTGAGTTGTTTAAATTTATTTGGAAAGAACGATGAGTGAGATAAGATTTGAGTATTAAATAATATGGGGTTGGAAAGTTTGTTTTTAGTTTACGGAGTAGTCCGTTGTGCCATACTTTGTCAAAAGCTTGAGCGACGTCGAGGAAGACACTCGAGCAGTATTTTTTTTGTTCAAGAGAAGATGAAATGGCATCGGTGAGGCGATGTAGAGGGTGAATAGTAGAATGATTAGCTCGGAAGCCGTACTGTGAGTTAGGAATGATTTACATACTAAACGTATAATTTTGATCAGTTACAATATAATCCCTTAACATTTCCTTCAACCTCTTCTCCATGCTCAGTATTAAATCCGGCATGGTCATAGATAAGTTAATACATTTTTTATTAGAGGCTGGTTTTGTTATTTAATATTTTTCCATTTTTTTTTTCTTATTGTCATAATTTTATAATAAAAGAATTATCAAGCTGTCATAGTCATTGACCAAAAATAATAATTCCATTGAAAAATACTGTTTTTGGTAAAATACTTAATAGTTTTAAACACTTTCGTAGTCACGAAATAAGTATGTGTATGATTTATTAAAAATAAAATATGCTATCAATTATTATACCTATATCTGTCCATTGAAGTCTTACGATCCCGTAACTTTTGAAAATCTACAATAGCCATAATAAAACTTATTAAATATTAATGAAAAATATTTCCTATATATTATGTGTATTTATATATAGATACAGATATTTGGTTCGATTATACCGTTTCCTTTTCTTTTCATAATGCTGTTCATCATAATGACGGACAAAGACGCTTGGGACGGTTTTTACACTCTGTTCGATCCAAGTACGATCGATTTTCTTGATCTTCAGGTATTTTATTCTATCTTGCCCAAGTTTTCCTAATATTATTCACATTACCGTACTATTTTAGTCTTGGCGAAGAGCAGCGGAACAAGTTCTGTACTCGTTAGATGTGGGTACCGGCCATTTGATAATTTATGGAAAAAACTGTAACTTTCGGGATAACATACTGAGCAGCATTCTGAGCGTCGCGTTGTTGGACATCATTTGTGCTGTAGCCGCCAGTCTGATCATTTTTGGAACGGCCAATATTTTGGCATATAAATTTCACATCACGTTCCAGTCAGTGTTCATTTCCGGTATTTAAGTATCACTTCATCACTCGAATGCTTATAGTCAGATACAGTAATTATATTTGTTTTTGTCAAAAACTCAATTTTCGTTTCCGTGTTCGATTTTTCGTTCTTGCACAAATGTGTATCTTTCTATCCTTAATATTACGTCCAAAACGTCACCACAAAACCACAAAGAGGCTATTCTTATTGACCCCCAAATATTGCTATATTTTGTTAATATTTTATTAACAAACTTATTATAATATTTTATTGTTAATATTTTTTTTTTATCTTTACCAGACCTGTACAAAAAAGGGGTATTGGGGGTTCAAACCCTTACCAAAACCATTTTTTAAATCAAGGTCATTGGAATTAAATTACTAGTTTATTAAATTAAAAACAAGTTTACTTCTGTAAGAAGCTTGAATTACCTATAATTTATGGTCGAAAAATTATAATTTGTATACATGACTTGAGTCAGGTAGTTGAAAAGTTATAGGATGTTTATTTAGGTTTATTTAGTTTAACAAAAAAATACTGTTCTGAATTTAGTAGTATTAATTGTGCTCTTTTACTCCGTAACCAAGGCAACTCGGAAATTATTAAAAGTAAAACTGCTCGTGTTGACAGAAAATTTCAACTTATAAATTTAAATATATCGATATTCCATACTTATATTTTTTGTTTAATTTTTAAGTGAATACAAAAACTGCTAAGAATTTATCACTGGGAAGAAATGTTATATTTGTTATGTATTTATTACCTCAACAAATTGTAGTATTTGCTTAAATAAAATTATTTTCAAAAACAATTAATAAACAAATTTTATTATGAATTTCAAAAAATATTGGAAACAAAATACTATTAGGCGAAAAATATACATCATTTAAGGTATTACCTGAAAAATCTGAGTATTTTCCCAACAAAAATACGATTTTCCGACAAAAAAAATCTCATTTTACTAGAAAAAATAACTTGCTCTCAGAATATAAAAAGTGGCATACGAGAAATAGTTTGTATAATAAATAATTTTATAATCTTCAATTGCATTTCTTTTACTGATATTTTAGTTAGCATATATAGCACTGGTTATAGATTTACTATACATATTGTATATACTATATTTACCATTTAATACAACTAGAGGTTCTTAAACAATAATATAAGTAGGCAGAAATACATTTGGAGCAAACAAAAATCGAACGTTTTTCATTTTTGTGGAAATAATAGTCAGCGATAACGAAAATCAAATTTTTGCGAAAATTGTTTATTAGTACCAAATGTTCTTGTTCTTTGACATGTCCTTATCCATACTTTTTATTATTTGGTTTTTTTGTTTTTTGATAAATATTTAGAAGAATATTTAGCTAAAATTTATTAAAAGATTCTTAATCTGATTCTAAATACCGACATGAACGCAAGTGATTTTTTTCAATTTCAAGGTCCGGGAATGTTTCTCATCGCCATTTCTCGAGCAGTAACTGATCTACCTTTTCCGAGATTATCCAGTTTTTTGGCTTTTTTTGTTTTATTGGTGATTTGCATACTCACACAGGTTAGTAAATGTAGATCTGTAACAAAACTTTAAATTTAAAAAATTGTATACCTATTACATGTATCAAATGTTAGCACTAAATTTATACTTCAGTATACTTATTGTTTCTATTCAGCTTTCCTTCTTGAAACCCGTCATCTATTTGTTGAAGGTTTACTTTGCAAGACATAACTTAAATCAGTCGCAGTTTTCCGGCATATTGTGTATTACTATGTTCGGATTATCATTAGCAACAATAACTAGTGTAAGTTTTCAACAATTATAATATTATATTTATTTGATATAGATACAGTATTGTTAAGCATTCATATACATTAATGGTATTAAATATCATTATACCTAATTATTAAATATGTTAGAAATATCTTTTTTGACCAAAACCCCGGTTACCAGTCGCAAAGGTTTGAAGTACGCGGAGCGACGCATCCTTGTGCGTACACTAGACCGTAGCCGCGATGAGGAGTAGTGGATTGACCGTTGGGTTTTGGTTGTACGTATTTCGTGCGTCATATACCGCTTTAAATTTATCATAGGTTTAGATTGATATCGTCTATTTCGCGGTGGACGATTTTCGGAACATTACAAAATACACTTAATAATTACAAAAATTATATTAAAAGTTAATCTATTGCTTTATTTTAATAATATATTTACTACATCGACTGAAAACCAGGTGACAACATATGGTTACACAAATTTGATTTTTTAAGAGTAAAAAAATAGTAATTCATAATTTTTTTCGATAGTCATGGAATGTACAATCTGTTTTCATTTAATCTGTGATATACTGAATATACGAGTTCGTAACTATAAATAAATGGGCCATACTGGCTTATTTATCTATAAACTCATACACATCAACTATTTTTAGAATATTTGTGATAAACATCAAATAATATATATATATATATATTGGTTTAACCGACAGAAAAGTGGAGAATACTTCCCTACTGTACGTCAAATAATATTAAGAGATATTAAGTGATATTTTGACCAAATTTAAGAAAACTGAAAAAAAAAAATGCATAACTAACAAAAAGAAAGTGGCATATAAACTTGATAAACTATTTTTATTTCTCATTTAAAGTATCATATAGATAATTTCCAGGTAAGAAAAAAATTGTGCGTCAATTCTTTATGTTTAATGCTAAAAACCACTCTAATACATACTATACAGTTGTCCCACGATTATTCATTGCGATATCTCCTAAAATAATGGGGATAACCAAATATTGTGTTTTTTTTTTATAAATAATAAAGATTACATTAGATTATCTTGATATCTTCATGGAAGATCCTATGTACTTGTATATTTATATGTATACGAGTGCAGAGGCGTGCTCAGGATCAAAATGTAGGATAGGCCCGGTTATAATTATTTTAGTTAAAAAATATGTACACAATACACATTATTTATTTTTTATTTTGAAACTTTATAAAAATTTTAAATTGAATTAGAAAAAATGATTATAAAATAATATAATACAACACAATTTATTCCTCCTGTTTGACTTGTTAATAATATTTTAAGATATTAAAAAATAAAATTAAGTTTTTATATAACTGAATAATAAATGAATACAAATTAAACAATGGTTTTTTTAATTATAAGTCTTCTTCTTCTTCTTCCTCAGCTTATCGGCCAATTAAGTGCCATTGCTGCCATCTTAACATTTCTCCATTTCTCGCTATCATATGCGTCATCAAAAGATGACTCTTCTACGTTTTTTATATCTTGAGCTATAACGTCCATCCATCGGGTCCTTGGTCTTCCTAATGGACGTTTTTTATTTATTTTGTTAACTAACACTTCTTTTATTACTTGTCCATTCGCTCTCCAAACATGGCCGAACCNATAACTCCTGTAGTTCTTGATTTTTCCTTCTTTCGTAAGTTTGTGATTCTGCATTAAATTTCGGGCCGTATATCTTTCTCAGTACTTTTCTTTCAAAGGTCATTAATCGTTTGCCGTCTCCTTTGGTCAGTGGCCATGTTTCACTCGCGTATGTGATTATTGGTCGTAAATAGTTATGATACAGTAGTGTCTTTGAGTTATGTGACAGTAGTTTTGATTTAATGAGTCTCCTTATACTACTAGTAGCATCGGTTGCCGCATGCTATTCGATCATTGATTTCTTCATGCATGTTGTTGTTGCTATTTATGTTAACACCTAGGTACTTAAATACCTCCACTTTCTTGAAAATATAGTCATCTACTGTTATGTGGTCTATGTTTGGGCTTCTTCNTGCTACCATTAAGTATTTCGTCTTTTCCTCATTTACACGCAGCCCTATGGTTTTACTTGCTTTCAAGAGTTTGGACGCAGTATTTATGACTTCATATCTAGTTTCTCCCATTATACAATGTCATCTGCGTATGCCAATATTACTCGTTCCCCACATACTTCCATTTATCAATCAATTAAACAAGGTTGGTGATAGAGCATCACCTTGTCTAAGACCCAATTTCACCTCAAAGGTTTCAGACATTTCTTGCAGGAAACGCACTCTGCAAACAGTTCTATTGTTACATCCTTTTATAAGACTTACGTATTTTTTAGGAATGCCTAGTACTTCCAGTGCTTTCCATAGTTTGTCTCTATCAATGCTATCATAAGCTTGCTTATAGTCTATGAATATAAGGTGCAGTTCTTTATCAAATTCATAAAACTTAGCCATTATCTGTCTCAGAGTAAAAATATTGTCCTATAACGATTTACCTTTTCTAAAGCCACTTTGATATTCCCCGACTATTTCTTCAACATATGGGTTAATCCTTTCTAGTATTAATGACGTATACACTTTGTAACACGTGTCCAATAGAGATATACCTCTGTAGTTCTTTGTTTTGATCGGTCCCCCCTTTTTTAATATAGGACATATTATTGCAGTATTCCAGTCCTCTGGAGGGGTTTCTGTATCCCATATAATTGAAATCAACTCCATAATTTCTCTTCTTATTTCAGCCCCACCTTTAATCAGTGACTCCGCCACTATATTGTTTTCTCCAGGTGCTTTATTAATCTTAAGCTTATTAATTATATTGTCGATTTCTTCTTGTTTAGGTTTTTCTATCTTTGGTTCTGCTGTATAGTAATAGACAGTTTCGTTGGTTTCCTCTACTACTGGTTGATTTAAAAGCTGATAAAAGTATTCTTTGAAATGGCTCACTACCTCCTTTTCTTCTGTGATTAGGTTTCCGACAGCATCTGAAAGTATTCTTGTCTTTGGTTTGAAACCAGCTTTGATACTTCCGCATTCATTGAAAAACTTTCTCGCATTGAATCTATTCCTTTCAATCTCCTCTATCTTTTTCTTTTGATGTAGCCGTTTCTCTCTTTTTAAAATTCTGTTTGTCTGCCTACTTTGTTCTTTGAAAATATCGATATTTTCCTGTGAGGGATTTTGCAATAATATTTTTCTCAATTCATTTCTCTTGGTTATGGCATCACTACATAAATCATTGAACCAGTCTTTTTTCCGCTGCTTTTTCTCCATTCCCAAAATTTGATTTGCGCTGTAAGTCATTACGTGTTTTATTTGTGTCCATCTACTGTTTACACAAACCTTCCTGTCATTCGTCTTTTCTATGTGACTATTAGTCCTTTCTAGGTTTTGTCGTAGATTTTCGGCGTACTTTCTACTTATTTCGATATTTTCTAATGTTTGTACATTGAATCTTTCTGTGGCTTTTTTTGATGTCATTTTCCATTTTACTGATAGTTTTAGAGTGAACTTTGCATACAGTAGGTAGTGGTCGGTATCTGCATCGGCTCCTCTATACGATCTCACCTTCTGAATACAGCTACCATGCCTTTTGCTTATTAGTATGTGGTCCATTTGATTTTGCGTCCTACCATCAGGTGACTTCCATGTATGTTTGTGTATGCATTTCCGGGGAAAATATGTGCTACTAATTATAAGGTCTTTCGAAGAGGCGAAATTTACCAGTCTGGTTCCGTTGTTATTACTGATGTTATGTAAGCTGTCTTGTCCTATTGTAAGTCTTAACTCCCTCTCAATAGAAATTAACGCTAAATTATGAAGACGTGTATTAGACATAGATGTTCGTAAATAAGTTTTTATCCTTTTCATTGATGAAAAACTTCTTTCGGCCGATGCTGAACTTACAGGTATAACTAACACTCGTTCAATGACTTTTTTAATTTCTCCAAATGACTGCCCCATAATGCATATTTCGTTGTAAAAATCTATGTTATTTTTGCAACTACTTTACATATTTTTTGCTAATTTGCTTTGACTTATTACTTGGTCAGAGAAATAATTATCATCTCCATAATAATTTATACACTTTAAAACAAAATCATCAATTAAAAATTTGGTCAATATCGGATTGAATACTGAAATAGCAATTAAAAATTCTGAATTGTTGTTAAATCTTTTTTTCATTTCACTCAACATATTATCTATTACTGTAAAGTACATAATTCGCAATTTTTGAGTCGTAGTTTTATTGCATTTTAAGCCGATTGTTGAAGTTATTACATAATCACTTAGTACACTATTAATATTTTTCTGTCTTTTTTCATAATTATCCATAGAAATATTTAAATTTGAAGCCATAATTTGAGATTTTTTATAAAAGTTATAGAAAAATTCATCCGAACGTAAACGTTGAAGCTCTTTTACTGTAGCATCAATTAAATTTAAACACTTAATTATAACGAGAGAAGAAGATTGTAAATGTATTGAAAGTACGTTGATAGTTGATAAAAGGTTATCAAGAAATGTTAAAACAAATAATACAAACGATCGAAATTGGTTTAATAATACTTTGGCTTCTGCGGCCTCTTTTTTTTTTGAACTACTTGACAGTTGTGATAAAGCTTTTATGACATGTTCAAAACGAATTAAAAAAAAATGAATACCTTTATATTTTGCAACCCATCTAGTATGAGGGTTGAGGGACTTTTAAAATTGTTTCACAATCTTTTTGGACATCAGAAAATATTTTATAACGTAAAGTTGAACTCGATTGAAATGCATAAATTGCTTCAAGCAATCCAATCTTATTGTCAACAATTTCAACTGATTTAGCAACATCGACCAAAACTAGATTAAGCCGATGTGCATAACAATGTATATAAGGGCATTTGTTTTTAGAAATTTCTCTAATTTTTACTTGTACGCCATTGGTAGAACCAGACATTACTGATGCACCGTTGTAGGATTGACTTATACATTTTGTAATATCTAAACCAAATGAATTTAAAAATTCGATAATAGAATTAGTTAGGCCTAGTGCATCTAATTTTTCTACTT